ACAGCCAGGATGCTGGGCTCAGAGAGGCCGACCGTCTGTGGCCCACAGCCTCCATTCAGACTGGCTCTGAGAGCCCTGTGGCCTCCTGCCCTCCCCAGGTGAGGCCCTTCTGGTTCCACTCCTTGTGGAGTCTGGCCCAGAACCCCCAGCCGCCCGCAGGAGCGCTGGCTCTTCCCCCCAGCCCCCCGTGTCCTGCCGTACCTCCATCTCCCTTCCTGCTGGGTCCGCTGATCCCGGAGGGCAGTACACAGGGCCCTCGCCTGGTCCTCGCAGGCTGGCACATACCTACTGAGCCGTCGCCCTCCACCCCGGAGGCCAGGAGTGGTGAGAGAGGGGCCTGGGCGCCCTGGCGGGACCTGAAAGTCAGCCCAGGGGTTAAACAGAGAAAAACAAGCCTCTGCCTCATCAAAGCCCCGTGGCCCCACCTGCACCCACCCGGTGTGGGACCTCCCGGCCCCTCCTGTTCAGGGGATGAGCTCCAGTGGGCTATTAGCCTGTCACATGGCCCCGTTCCTGCCGCCCGGCTGGAGCTCCCACCACCCTTCTGCCAGGGGAGGGCTGAGACCTGCAGGGGCTCGAGAGCTTCCGAGGGGCTGGGCCTTCCCCTGTGAGGCCGACCGCGTGCGGAGATCTGGGTGTGCACCTCCCTGGCGTGTCAGGCACGTGAGCTGGGACCAGGCTGGGGACCACAGCGTGAAGACTGGCAGCTCTCTCCTCTTCTTAGTCTCTCACCCCCTTGAAAAACCTCTAAATGCCCACCCGAGCCAGGGGGGCTCCTCACTGCGGCTGCTCTCCAGCCCCCACAGCTGAGACCTCGAGGCAGGCACCGCAGAGACGACCCGGGCAGCCCAGGCTGGGGCCTGACTCCTCGCACCACAAGCAGCCACCTGGTCCGGCCCAGCCACTCAGCTGGAGAGGACAGGAGGTGACGTGGGAGCACCCTGGTCGATCTCAGGAGGTCCCTGTGCCCTGGCCGGTCCTCTCCAGCCTCGTGTCCCCAACGCCCCCCTTGTTAGATGAAGAGAGGCATGTTAGCACGGCTGGGGGGTCGGTGCCGCACTCCCCCGGGTGTGTTTGTCCAGAAGGAATGCCCGCTCGAGGGCAGAGGGCAGGGCCACAGTCCTGCCGGCAGGAGCAGGTGGTCAGAGTGGGATGTCAGCCTGTGGTCATGCTCTGTGCTGGGCACACCTGGGAGCCAGCGCCCGCCAGCTCCCACCGGGCAGCTCAGACAGGTGGCACACGCTCAGCTGAGCTCAGAGCCATGGCCTCCATCCCCAAGATGCATGCCTCTCTCATACACACCCCTACAACACACAGGCACACGCCCATACATGCACACATCACGTACAGCTCTGGAAATACACAGGTGCTCTTGCCCTGCCTCGTCTCCAAGGGCCTCACTGAAAAGCTGCAGCCCCCACTAGCCTCTGCTCAAAGAGCAGGGCCCTGGGCGTGAGGTGAGGGCACCGGAATCTCTCAGCTGACTCTGCAGTTGGAGTCCCGGGCAGAGACTGGGCCCATGTGCGTGCACGCGTGCCAAAGTCCTGAGAGGAGAATGGAGGAGGGGTTACAGCAGGGGCATCCCTGGGGGATTTCTCACTTCCTTTCTCTCTTTCTCCTGTTTCTCTCTAGCAGCGAGTTCATGTGACCTATGGCAGAAGCAGGGTCCTAAAAGTGCCACTTCTAGAAGGTTCTCACCTCCTGCCGCGCGGAATGGGGATGGAGAAGCCTCAGTGCGCCCTCGCAGGGCAGAGATGCTGAAGATGGCCCCTGGCCACCTCCACTTCCCTGCAGCACTCACACCCCCTTGTTCTCGGCTATTACGGCCTCCCAGCCCGTGCCAACTCCAACTGGGGGACCCTGGGTTTGCCAGAAAAGGGGAGCAGTGAGGGTGCTAGCCCCATAGGCTGGCCTCTGTGAGCCTCGCCCCTGCCTGGTGAAGGTTCTTGGCACATCCTCGAACCTCCAAGCCCGCAGGAGACAGAGACGGCATGGCCGACAGCGGACAGTCTGTCTGCACAGGGAGCACACGGCACGGCACACGTGGCCTGAATGCACCGATGTGGGGCACGTGGCCAGGTGGTCCCGGACGGCCCAGCCCCAAGCGCCTCCCTGCATGTGCCAGGAGGGGCCGGGGTTAATGCAGAGAGAGGAGAGGGCGTCCGGGCCGGGGCGGGAGGGCGAGGCAGGCTGTCGGGCCCGCCAGTGCCCGGCCAGGGAACCAAGAGGGCCTTCGAGTCCCAGCAGCACAGAACGAGAGCCCCTGAGCTCCGCATGCAGGTATACCAGTCCCAGGGCGCCTCCCATACCCTGCGAGGGCGCAGGGAAACAGCACACGAGCTGTGATTTCTTTTTTCTTTTTATTGGCAAAGTAAATATATTTTTATGAAGGACCAGAGAAAATATACATAATTATAACATATGTACATGAGTCATATAGATTTTAACTGCATTTACACACGTGTTGTCGTGTTAAGATCTCCCACGTAGAGTACCTATGTACAACCTATTTACACACATTCATAGGATGTAAAGAAACCTGTCAAAACAAGCTCATCTGCTGGATATTAACTTCTAGACAGTCAGGAATGCATGTCTACGTCAGGGCAGGGGGGCCTCGCCGTCCTCCCGCCAGGGCAGCTTGCTCGCCTCTCCCGAAGACGGCCCTGGAGGCTGGGAAGAGAGAGGAGGGCCGAGCGCCTGGGTGCAGGCGCCGATGGCTGCGTCCCTGTCCCACACAGTGAACTCAAGCACATGCACTGGCAGCCCCCGCGCTGGGGCACCGGCACTCCCTCCCGGCGGCCCGGCAGACACCGCAGACGGGGCTGCGCGCACCGCACAGTGTGGCCCGGCTCCCTCTGGGAACCGAACGCTTCCAAACTGCACACTTCCTCCCGGGCAGTAAAGTGCTGGCCTTGCTCTCTCGGGGTGCCCAGTGGGAGAAGGGCGACCCCGAAGCCGTGCCTCCAGCTGGCTGCCACAGGAAGGCACGAAGGCACAGAGGCACGCGGCCGCCTCAGCCAGGCGCCGGGGCCCAGCCCCAGGGACACGGCCGAGTAGGTCCTCCCGGGAAGGCAGCAGGTGGTGGGCTCTCGGTGGGCACCTCCCAGCGTCGGGAGGTGGGCTGGCACGTGGTCACGTCCTCCGGAGGAGGCAAATAAATTATTGCTAGGGAAGGACGGCGGCCGCGCTCAGTTGGCGGTGCGGGCCGAGCGGCTGCTGCGCGGGAAGCGGTGCACCTTGATGTGCTTGGACAGGTGGTCACTCCGCGCGAACTTCTTCTCGCACACGGGGCACTGGTACGGCTTCACGCCCGAGTGCGAGCGCCGGTGCCGCGACAGCTCGTCGGAGCGCGAGAACCTGCGGGACACGGCGCCGTCAGCCTGCCAGGCCTCGCCAGGCCCACACGGCCGGTGCCCAGGGGCTGGGGGGCCCGTCTGCGCGGCAAGACTGCCCCGGTTCCTAAAAGGGCAAAGGACTTTGGAGCTAGAGGGTGTGTGGTGCTAAGTGCTGGATTCCCACGTGGCTGACCGTGGTTTGAGTCCCAGACCCGGCAGCTTGAAAATCACAACAAAGAAACAATAAAGAAATAAATGCTTAAACAGGCCAAGGACCTCTGGGGCCAGCAACGAAGCCCCTGCACACCAGCTGCCCTCCAAGCCGGTGGGGGCGGCCAGTCACGGCCCAGGCTGCCCGGTGCAGCCCCCGAGCAGCCGGAGGTGTCCTGCCAGGCCGAGGTCTCAGGATGCAGGTCTGGACAGACCCTGGAGCCCACCAGTGTGGGGGGTGCCAGAGGCTGCGGGGCGCTCCCTCGCTCAGGCCCCGGCCCCGCCTCCCAGCCCGTGGCCTTGCTCCCGCCGGGGGTGTCCAGGAGGCCAGCACAGGGAGCCCAGGGGGAGGGGCACGGGGACGTAGAGGAAGGCGCCCCAGTCAGGGCTGTAGGGCAGCGGCTCCACCCCGACCACCGCGCCTCTGCCCGCCCACAAGGACGTCTCCCGGCCCCTCAGCACAGGACATGGGCATGCCATGTCCATCTGCAGGGCTCTTCCCACCCCTCCCATGCATGTTCCCACCAGGTGCCACTTCCTCAGGAAGGCCTCTAGGACTGCACCAGTTCCAGCTCCCAGGCATTACCCTCTCCTCGCCCTGGACGCCTTTGCGGCCTTAAACCAGTTCTGCCTCTTAGGCAGACGTCTCCTGCTGCACTGGTCAGCTCCGTGGAGGAGGATGTGCCTGCCTGGTTCGCTGGGTTCCTGTGCCCTCCTGGGGACCACCCAGGGCCTGCAGTGTGGCCGGGGCTCAGGAAGCATGTTTAAATGACATGGGCACAGCAATCACTCACGGGAGGACAGCGCCGTCACAGGGCCCACACGTACACACACACACACACGCTGACACACATGAACATGTCACACACACGTGAGCACGCAGGAGTGCCAGGCCCAGCATCCCATCCCGGGCAGACCCAGTGACCGGCCCGCTGCACCCTGCCCCTGGACAGGGCGGAGCTTGGTTCTGCGGCCTGGGGAAGGGAGGGAGGACCCAGCAGAGCCCACACTGGGCCAGCTCGGTGGGCGGCAGGAGGGGCCTAAGGGAGGGCCCATGCATCAGCTGCCCTGCAGCCCTGGTGGCCCAGGACCCTCTGTGGACAGTGCTTAGCCCCGCCTGAGGGGACTGCCTCTGGGGATCGAGGAGCCCTCAGGAGCACCCACCTCACACCTGCACCTCACCCTTCCCGGGGGCTGCAGGGGGGACAGGAGGGACCTGGAGGTAGAAGGCACCCCTGCAGGCAGGGAGCCCTGCCACTTACTGGCCCAGTGCCCCAGGCAGGTTGCCAGGCTCCGAACCTCGGTCTGCCCACTCGGAGCAGGGAGGACGGCAGACGACCCCACCAGAAGGCAATGAGTGACGTGCCAGGGTGGCCCTGGGCGTGGCCACTGTGGGGGGAGCACGAGGGCCGGTTACGACAGCACCTGGCCCGGCACAGGGGCTGGCAGCAGCTGGATGGCATCGAGAGGTCCAGGCGCCTCCCCGCCCGTAGGCAACGAGCCTGCTGCCCCCCAGAAAGCCACCTTTGTCACGTCGCAGGGGCTGCAATGGGAAGAGGCCTCTGCTTACTGCGGGACGGGCTCGGAGACCACCCCAGTGCCTGGGGCGGCAGTGACCCCGGGGCCGACCGAGCAGGTTGGGGCCAGACCACTGCACTCGGATCCTGTTCCTGCCGCCTCTGGCTCTGCGGCCTCAGTGTCCACCATGTGGACGCCAACACCTCCCCTGTGAGCCGCTGACAGTTACTGCTACTCCGCTCAGCTGTCATGGAAGGGGTTCTTCCTGGGAAAGCGGCAGGGCCATCTCAGGACAGGACGTCCTGCTGCGAGGAACAAGGAGGCCAGTGTCTGGGGTGAGGCCAGGAAACTTCCAAGAAGGCAGGCAGACGGCACTTCCCAGAGGAGCAGATCAGAGCAGGCAGACAGGCCTCACCCTGTCACAGGTGCTCAAACCACGTCACACGAGGGGAAGGGCCAGGGTGCCGCGTTCGGGACCCACAACAGAGGGTGGGGACGCTGACCCCAACAGGTGGCCAGGGTGGGGCTGGCGGGCATGCGAGCACCGAGCACAGGATGCAGCGCCCAGCCAGGGCCACCAGGAAGAGAAGGGGCATAGGAGTAGGGAGGTGGGCAGGCAGGCCTGCAGGGACACCAGCCTGGAGACCAGGCCCAGCGGCAGGTGCAGGGAGAGCCCTCCTACCTTGCACTAGCCACCCAGGGAGCAGAGGGCACGGGGAGAGTCCAGTCAGGGGTGCACAGCCCAGGCTGGGCTCGGACGCTGCCCCCAACAGCATGTGACGTGGACGGCCCACTCAGTGCTTCCTTGGCGACATGGGGTGACGCATGGAAGCCTGGCTCACGGAGGGGCCCGAGAGTGAACAGCCGGCTTACAACAGCGTGGAGCAGCCCAGCACAGCCAGTCCCTGTCACGACTGCCGCAGAGCTCTCTGCTGGCCTGGAAGCGCAATGCCTGAGCACGCCAAGAGCCGGGTAGCGAGGAGACCGCCACAGCCAGCGAGCATCCAGGAAGCACCGCTGCGGGCTGTGGGGGCTGCGGCAACCACCCGGAGGTGCCCAAATCCCCACTCACCGCCACACCCCCGTGGGAGTGTCACATGACCTTGCTGTACCTGTCTCCCCTGCTGCCAAATACCGACTGGGGCCTCCACTTTCTGGGGCTCATGAGGACTTGAGCCAGCAGTGACGCACAGACCGAAGCCGGGGCCATCCCAGAGCGAACTCGCAAGCTGGCGCTGCAGGGCCACGGGGAGGCGGGTGTGGCATTTGAGTCAGGTGCCCGGAGAGGGCCGGGACCCCGCAGAGGCAGCAAGGTCAGAGTACTATGCCTGCTCAGTACAGAGAGTCAGGCGAGGCCACGGTTTAGGCCCACGGGCCAGACGAGGGTCAGGTGGGAATCCAAGCTGCCACATGTGCTTAGAGGCTGCAAACACTTAGAAGCTGCATCCACTTAGAGGCTGGTGCACATAGAGGCTGGCATGCACTTAGAGGCTGTGCGCACTTAGAGGCTGCACGCACAGAGAGGCTGGCATGCACATGGAGGCTGGCATGCCGTTAGAGACTGCATGCACTCAGGCTGGCACGGACTTAGAGGCTGGTGCACACTTAGAAGCTGGCACACACTCAGAGGCTGCATGCACTCAGAGGCTGGCATGGACTTAGAGGCTGGTGCACACTCAGAGGCTGGCACACACTCAGAGGCTGCATGCACTCAGAGGCTGGCGCACACTCGGAGGCCACGTGCAGAGGCCAGTGCAGGGCAAGCAGGAGGCACACGCGTGAGGCAGGGGTGGGGACTCGGCTTTGAGTTCCGGGCTGCACCTGCACACACAGCACATGTCCCCCCACCCTGGGGCTGTCACTTCCTCCCCAGTCCTGCCCAGACCCAGCACCCACGGGCTCATCCTCCTGCCCACTGACTGCCCCCTCACATGGACACTGGTGGAAGATGGCCACCACAGTAGGGACACAGCACCTGAGGGTCTCCAGGGACCTAGGAGCCCTCCCTGCTGGCCCGCCAGTGCCTCTGCCACGGTGACCTACGAGGCAGACCTTCCCCAGGACCGTGGGGAAGCCAGAGAGACCCTGATGGTGGGGGCGAGCCTGGCAGCAGGGCTAGCACCCTGGGGGCCACAGCCTGGTGAGCAGCTGTACTGGGCCCTCTGCACTCCCCAGAGGGTCCTGAGGAAGAGGCGGCCTCGCTTGGACGGCGTCAGAGCCGCCCTGCACAAATCCTCGCTCTCGCTCTCACAGCTCATTCTGGGAGCTCACTACCCCGAGGCTTCTGTGTAGAGGGGAGCTCAGCCTCCCTCAGGTGCTCAGGGCCGGGTCCTACCCGGGAAGAACGGGGTGCTTCCTCTGGGGGTGAGCGGAGCGGCAGCCTTGACGAAGGAGCGGCCTCCCTCCCAGTCTGCCCAAGCAGCCCAGCGCAAGAGGTTCCAGGAGTGCAAGGGCTGGGCTGGACCCTTTGGGGCCGGGGCTGGACCCTTTGGGGCCGGGGCTGGACCCTTTGGGGCCGGGGCTGGACCCTTTGGGGCTGGGGCTGGACCCTTTGGGGCCGGGGCCGGCTCCTGCAGAGTTTCTGGGTCTGTCAAATAGGGTGGAGAGGAAGGGGCAGGACAGAGAGCTGGCCCTCTGGGGGCTCAGGGGAAGGGCCGCTAGCACCCCTCGCACATCCACGCACCAGCCCTCCCACAGAGCCCGGCCTGCCTCTCAGCTCCAAGTCTGGTCAGAAACGGCAGCTGCCAGGTATCCCATGCACCGCCCACAATACACACATGCACACACACACGACCACGCATGCACAGGATGTGCGCGTGTGCACATGCAGATGCTGATGAAGAAGGCCAAGTGCACACGTGTGCGGCCCTGGCGAGGCCCTGCTCTGTACACACCTGTATGTACACAGAGGAGCGTACCACGTCCCACACGCACACGCACACACGGCGGCAAAGGGGAAAGGTGTGCAGAGCACCCACCACCCTCCGGGCAGGCCAGAGACCCTGAGCAGCAGGCCTCCACCTGGGGAGGCTGCCGTGGTGCCGTGGCGCCGTGGGCGTGCAAGCTCTTGGCAGGTGGGCAGCTTTCAGGAAAAGGTGGGTGTACCTCTGGAGGTGAGAAAGCTGGCCCCGGGGTGACCCCAGGGATCCCACCCACCAGCCTTGGGCTCTGCCACCGTGCCTAGACAACCCACGCCCACCAGCCTGACCCTCCCTGCCAGTGGCCTATGCCCTCTCAAACGCTGCTCAGGGCCCAGGAAGGGCCCAGCCCACCGGCCTATGCCAGCCGGCATGAACTAAGCTCGCCCACTGGCTGGGCAGGCGTGGCCCGGATGTGCCCTCTCTAGTCTGACCCCCGTTCAAATCCTTCGCACGGCAGTGTGACCCGGGGTAAGCACTTGGTTGTCCACACCCAGCATCATGTGGGAGCCGGATGGGATGGTGTACTTGCCTGTGGCTCCCTCCAGCACCCCTCAGTGCCCGCACCTCACCGGCCCCTCACCCGCCACCCCATCAGGATCGGGAGCCCCGGCAGGAAGCAAGGAGCAGCACTCTCGCCCAGGTACTATGAACCCGAAGACCACGAGCTTCTGGCTTCAGGCATCCGGAGGGAGCGGGTGGCCAGTGGCCAAGCGGCCGTCCTGCCCCTGCCCACCCCCTTCATAACCAGCCTTATCTACCGGGGAGATAGCGGCCTCAGCCATGACCCCATACTGACCTCCAGCCGCAGCCCGGCCAGGTGCAGGCGAAGGGCTTCTCGCCCGTGTGCCGGCGCAGGTGGGCCTTGAGGTGGCTGCTCTTGGTGTACATCTTGCTGCAGCCTGGGAAAGTGCACTTGTGCATTTTGATGAGTTCTGCCCCAGGGTTCTTGGGGAACTTCTGGCCCACCAGGAGGCCGGCGGGGCCGGGCCCCAGGGGTCCCGCCCCGATGGGCTTGGCAGCGATGGGCACGGGGGCGATGCGCACGAACCTGGAGGGCAGGCTCAGCGCCGAGGGCGCCACCTGGGGCACGAGAGCGAAGGTCTGGCCCTGGATATTGACCAACAGCTGGGTCACCTTGACGTTCTCCGGAGTCTGCCCCGGGGAGGAGGGCCCCGTGCCCGCCTCCTGCTTCACGGGCACGGGCTGGATCTGCAGTAGCACCGGGACAGGGCCATCGGGCGCGGAGCCCCCACCGGGGCCCTGGGCGCCGCCCGTGTTGGCGCTGCCTGGCGGCGGAGTGCCCCGCTCTCTCCCAGCAGGGCCGGCATGCGGGTGGCTCCTGTGTGGCCCTGCCGAGGGCAGGATGGCCTCTGAGGCCCTGCAGTCACTCGGGGGAGCCTCCTTGGCCGCCGACTCCATATTCTCCTCCAAGAATTCTTCAATTTCCTCCAGGGTGGGCTGGAAGGGCCGTGGGACCTCATCGGAGTCGCCCACGGGAAACTCAGGGAAGCAGAAATGCTCCCCCTTCACAGGTGCCGGTGCCCTCCGCCAGGCCCCCCAAGTCACAGCAGCACTGCTGGCCCCGACGCTGCCGCTGCCCAGCGTGGCCTGGGACAGCAGGAAGTCCAAGATGCTGTCCTGGCCCTCAGCACCCTGGCCTCTGCCGCAGCAGGAGCAGAGGGCTTGCGAGTTGGGGCTGGCGCAGGAGCAGGGGCTGGAAGCGTCACTGTCATCCTCGGAGAGGGGCGAGGGCAGCATGTGGTAGGCCCGCCGGCCGGCCAGCCTGGCACCCAGATACCCGACGGGGCACTTCGGCGACGAGAAGGTCTCGTCCACCGGCAGTAAGTGGTCCACCATGCTGGCCTGGCCGCGCGGGCGGTGGCTGCGGAGAGGAAGCAAGGGAGGCGGTCAGGAACGCACACTCACCTGTGGCCGCCACCCTCGGCCCCGCCACAGCCTGGCCGTCCGACGCCTGGTGCTGCCTTCCCGTGGGAGAACCATGCCTGCAAGCGCTTTCTGAAATTGCACCACCTGTTTGCCAAAGAGCCCTCTGCCAGCCGTTGCACAACCGGCACTGCCGGTCTCGAGCCTTTCCAGAACAGCCCTGGAAGAGAACACGCGTGTCCGCAAAGATGGCGGGAGGGTGCGTGTGAGCAAGGAGCACGTGGGGCCCCGGCACGGCCAGGACGCGGGGTGGGGGAAGGCGCTGCCTCGCACAGGACCCCTGACCCAGCTTCATGCCTGCTGAGTCACAGAAGTGGGGCAGAATGGCCGTTTGTCCTCTGACCCCCACGCTGCTGGGGCGGAGAGGGTTGCCAGATTGAGCAAATAAAATGCAGGCTGCCAGTTTAGTTGGAATATCAGATTTTAAACAACAAACCTTTTTTTTTAGGTTTAGTCATAGGGTGCATGCACTCTCAGGGACAGAGAGAGGGAAAGTGAGAGATCACAGCCCACCCCCCGGCCAGCGGGAATGGCCATGAAGCCACCAGGTCCAGAACTTGAACCATGGTTGGCCATGTGAGCGCCCAATGCCTTAACCTCCATGCCACCCACTGGCCCCAAGACAGACCACTTTTCATGAAATCCCCGTATGGGACGGCTCACACTTCCATTTAAAAATCACCGTATCTGATGTGCAAGTTTAACTGGGCTGCCTGCATCATAACCCGGCGACTACAACTTAAGGCCAAAAAGCCAAGGCCATTAAGCACCTGCCCTTGCACCCGGCGGACGGCTCCCCACTGGGGCTCACCCACTTCGCGGCTCTCAGACCCCTCAGGGTCTCCGGAGAGGCAGGGACGGCTTGAGCAGAAGGCTCTGCGCTGTGTCCAGCACCCTGCCGCTTCATCGGGCAGAGGCTAAGGCGGGAGGTCCCAGAGCACGTGCCTGTGGTCACCTCCCAGGTTCCGGGTGGCAGGAGCTAAGCCCCCACGGCCAGTGAGGTAGCTGGGGTCCTGCCCTGCACCCCTCGGCCACCACCTGGGACACTCACCACCTTCGCAAGGCTCAGCCAGCACCACCTGCCCCCTAGATGGTGCGCTCCATGTCACTGCCCTGTCCCCAGCACCCTGACAGAGGGGGGAAGTTGTGTCCTGAAGCCAAAGGCCACGCTAGGTCTGGTGTCCAAGGAGAGTCAACAGTGCCCAGCTGTGACAGGACCGCCCCTGTGGACCTTTGTCCCCACCCAGTGACCACGCTGGCCTGGTGGCTGTCGGCGCTGGGTGGGAGAGTGTGCAGCTTCTGAGTCTGCCGATGCCGTCTCTAGGACCACCCGCGGCCCGCAGAGGTGGTGTCTGCCGCGACCTTGGGCAAATCCTCGCCCACCAGGCCTCGGTTTCCCCATCTGTTCCATTCTTCAAGGATCTCCAGGTCTGTCTCCTGTTCAGGGACCCCCGGACCTCTGACTTCGATCGGCCCCCAGAAGGCTTCATGGCACCCCAGGGACCCAAGGCCAGGTGTGCATCCCCAGGCAGCGTTTCCTAACTCGCCTTCGGGGCTGGACACTCAGCTAAGGGTGCAAAGCTGGAGTGTGTTTAAGAGGCACAGGGTGCCCAGACCCGGAGCTGGGACAGGAGCAGGACACCCCACAGGCTAGGGCAGGGGCTCGGCTTGCGTCTGCAGCTTGGCTGAGCCACCCGGGCAGCTCACAGCACTTCCCTCTCCCCACCTCCGTGTCCTCGTCTTGGTCTGAGGGACAGGGTCCCCGGCAGCCCAGCTCCCAGGTGCTGTGAGACACCACTGAGCTGACACATGCTTGGCACAAGCCATGGGGGTCTGGCGCACGCACACGTGTGCTGGTTAGACCCAGCCATGAGCGCAGCGAGCACGTGCTGTTTCCACCCGTCCTGGTGCCTGGAAGCCCAAGGCTCTGGACCCTTGTGAAAGGTGAGCAGCAGCTGGACTGTCCCTGGCACCATGCAGCGGCCACTAACATTTCCAAGGGCAGTGATGGGACAGGGCTGCATCCCCCTAAAGGAGGCCCTGCCTCGTAAAGATAGAAATGGCATAAAAAGGAACTGGGTGCAGGTGGGGGTGCGCCCACCACAGCAGATGCCCAGCACTGGGCCCTGCCTTCTCCTCCTAGCCCTCACTCCCCATGTCCACACGTGGGTCCCTCTGCCCCCAGCCTCCAGGTGGGGCCTCTCACTCAGACCCCAGCTCGGAAAGTCCAGACCCTGTTGCACCACCCCACATACAGCGTTTTCTTCCTAGCAGACACCAGAGTGGGAACGAACTTGGTTATGTGTCTCTGTTGTTTCCTGTTTACCTCCCCACCAAAATAGAAGCCTTCCACTGTTCAGCCCGCGGCTGGATCCCTGAATCTAAAACAGGTCTGGCAGAATCTGCTGAATGAGCAAAGGCAAGGCGCTTTGGGCAGCCAGGAAAGGGGGCGGAGACTAGGAATGGGGCGGCCTGGGTCGGGCCACGGGGTCTCTAACTGCCAGTGTGAGCGTGCCCCAGGCGGGATGTAGGCAGTAGGAGTGGAGAGGGCTCTGGACTGCCCGGGCATAGGCGTTTAGGAGGGCACTGGGCTGGAGCTGCTTCAGCCCTAAAAACAGCCGCACGTGGCCGGGCCAGAGGCGCAGGCTGCATGCAGGGGGAGGGGACGCGCTGTTCCGGGCACTGTCCAGGCTGGCCACTGGACTCCGCCCCTCCCAGCCGGGCCAGGCCTGCTGTTTATCCTCCTGGGACACAGAGGCTGCAGGAACAACATGTAATTGATAACAAGCGAGCGCTGGCCAAGGGCTTGCCATTGGGTCAGCCTGCAAATCACAGGGTGGCGGGTGGGGGCCACCTTTCAAAATAAGAGTCTCCTCTCCCTGCAGCACCGCAGGCCTAAGTCTCCTAGTCTTCAGTCCTCACACCTGTAGAACTATGGCCCCCGGGCACGGGAGCGAGGGCAGATTTGAAGGGCTCAGATATTTGGGAATTTCCGTGGGAGAAAGCAGCTCACTGTGCCCTCCAGAAGAGGGGGTGCCATGGGCGACACCACAGTAGGGAGGGAAGGGACCTGGAGGCCACATGGCCTGGGGTGGTCTCTCCCCTGCCACCCCTGCCCATCTGCTCCCGCTGGCCTAGGGCCTGGAGACGGCGTGTGAGTACAGGACGAGTGAGTGGTGAGGGTGACCGCGAAGGGGTCTGCGTTTTCGTCCTGTGACTGCGTGTGCGTGTGCGGGGCGTGGTGCGCGGAGGCGATGTGGCTGTGCGTGAGGCCCACCACGAAGTGTTCACGGCCGGCCTGGGGGCGTGTGCGGAGGAGGGCGTGGGGCGCTGGCTCAGGTCCCTCGGTAGAGCTGGCCATCAGGGCCGCCCCTACCCCGTCCCTACCCCCACCCC